ATGCGTGCAAAACACCGAGTGGAGTCCCTGGGTGGTGCAACCGAAAGGTTGGAGGTTCATGTCCACCCAGAAGCACCTCGGAAGAAAGGCCTGGTGATCTACTTCCAAAAAAATCAGCCATTGAAAACTCTACTCTGACCTAGATGGGGTTTCCATGAGTTAGAACTGACTGAACAACAACTTGTATCTATACTGGTGTAAAACACCGACGATATTGCGCGGTGCATAGTAGGACCTCCACAAATGGAAGCCATTTTGTAATTATTCCTACCTACCACTAGGGAGTTTAATACAGTATATGTTCCACGTTGTCCTTCACACAAAGAGCTCATCAAGCACTCCTTAGACGGCTAATGGGTGCCGTGCACTTGTGGGGATACAAGCGTTATTTGGACCCCAATATGCCTTCTGAGAGGTGACATGGGCAGGGATGCCCGTGGGGCAAGGCAGAGGTGACCAGGGCCACGTGGGTGACTCTGCTTTCCAACCTGCCGGCTCCTCCAAAGCCAGGACCACGGCTTCTATTTCTCTTGTTTTCTTTTCAAATACTTCTAAAAAAGCTTTTCCGTTTTCCAATCAGATTCTAATTAGAATGCATGCTTGCTGTAGAAAACATGGAACTTGCAAAAAACACAAAGAGAATTAAGAGGATCTCTCTTTCCTCTGCAGTGTTTTTGTGAATTCCTCTGCTCTTGTGCGTACTGTTTTATACTAGATACAACTTGGTATTCTGGCCGGGTTCTCCCCCACCCCCCACTTCTTTCATAAGCCTTGAAATCTTTCCAAAAATATCTTTTAATGGCTTCATAAGAGTATATCACATGATTGGGAGTGTGAACTCAGAATCAGCAGACAAACTTCCAATTGCAGCTTCACCAACTATTAGCTGCATGACACTGGACAAGTTACTAAGTTTTCTGAGCCTCAGCTTCTTCATTTGTAAAATGATGTGGGAGGGAAGTTAAAGTAGGCGCCTTATAAAGTTGTTGTAAAAATAAACGAGTTAATTATATGAAAGGATTAGTGCCTGGGACATAGTAAAGAGCTAAACAGTAGTTACCGTGATTGTCGTTATTATTCCTCTATTACTAAATATTTACAGTGTGCCTGGTTTGTTTTAAAATAAATAATTCTATTATGATTTCTTTGAACTTATATCTGTTTCCACATTTCAACTTCTTCCTCAGGGTATATAAAGCTATTGGTCCCGGGTACTTAAGAGTTTCAGGCTGTCCCGGGCTCTCATCTCAGCTATGCTACTTACTAGCTGTGTGATCCCGGAAAAGTCACTTAACCTCTCTGTGCTTCCGTTTCCTCTTCTATAAAATAAGATGATGATAGTTGTGGGATTGTTGTGCAGATTACATGGGATACTAGATGCCAAGAACCTGGCACGTGGCAAACACACAATAAGGATTAGGTATCGTTATTATTCATGCTTATCGCCAATTACGGAGCCCTGGTGGCACAGCAGTTAAGAACTCAAGCTGCTAACCAAAAGGGCGGCAGTTCACATCCACCCACTGCTCCCTGGAAACCCTATGGGGCAGTTCCACCCTGTGCTATAGGATCGCTATGAGTCCGAATCGATTCAACGGCAATGAGCGGGTGGCGCTGTGGTTAAGAGCTTGGCTGCTAACAAAAAGGTGGACAGTTAGACTCCACCAGCCACTCCTTGGAAACCCTATGAGGCGTTTCTACTCTGTCCTATAGGGTCGTTGTGAGTTGGAATCGACTCGATGGCTACAGGTTTGGTTTGGTTGGTATTGCCAATTACACTTTCACTTGTTTATTCCCAGCAGCACTGGGCTGAGCACACCGAGACTTCCAATTAATACCTACTGAACTGAACTGAAAATCGCTTGCTGTGAGTGTTCCCCGAGTACTCTGGAAGATGCCCGGCCTCCCTGTTAGGCGATCAGCCCCAAGCCAGTCCTCCCTCGTTACCCTGTCCACATCACCCCTCCTCCCCGCCCCGAAAGCCTGTGGGCTGTGTCTTTTTGCCTTAGTTCAGTCTACAATGCTACTTATTTACAGAGACCCCTTGAGGCACCCTGAATAGTGTAAGACCTCTCCAGAGACTTCGGGGATCATAGGCCAGAATCCCTGTTCTATTGCTGGGATCCAACAGCTTGGGGACCCTCCCCGGGACTTGGGTCCACAGCCTCACCGTCTTGAGGACATCAGACTACGTTATTCCAAGCTGGAGGATGGGAGCACCTACATGTACGGGGCACCGTGCCCAGTGCCAGACGCTACCTGAGCTAGCTCTTACCTACAGCAGAAAGCTCTTGACCTGGGGACCCAAGGTCAAGAAGGGGAGAGTGTTGACATGTCGTGGGGTTGGCAACCAATGTCACAAACAATATGTGTACTGTTTAAGGAGAAACTGGTTTGCTCTGTAAACCTCCATCTAAAGTACAACAACAAAAATTATTAAAAGAAAGCTCTTGAGCCGCCAATCAACTCTTAGTGTTTGGTTGGTGTTCTGAACATAAATAAACAGACTCATCTGGTGCTTCAGAGAGGACGGCTTACGTAAACCCAAGCAATACTTTCCCAGGCACATGAGCAAATTCACCACAAACCCAAATGAGGGTGGGGCTGTGTAAATAACCCAGAAACCCAGCAGAACAGCACACCAGGACCGGGCAGCTGGCATGCTGGCGTCACGTCGTCAGCACCAGGACGGGGCAGCCGCTGTCACATCGTCGGCAACAGCTGCTGTTAGGTTTGCTGGGTAGCTACCAACCTCCAGTGGAAACGGCCCCACTTGGGAGTTAGTGGATTGACTCAGGAAGATGATGGATTTCCACGCGCTTGTGCACAGAGGGATGGCCCAGTGGTTCACTGCCATTATCGATGGTTTCCGATAGGAGTTCTCCCACAGCGAAGCTTGAAACTCAAGTCTCAGATTCTCAGAGGTGGTTTTCATCTTGCTTGATGTTAAACTGTAGCCCTGGTGGCACAGTGGTTAAGACCTCAGCGGCTAACCGAAAGGTCAGCAGTTCAAATCCACCAGCCGCTCCTTGGAAACCCTAAGAGGCAGCTCTACTCTGTCCTACAGGGTCACTATGAGTCGGAATCGACTCGACGGCAACGAGTTTGGTTTTTTTATTGGTTTTTTTTTTTTAGAGTAGGAAAGGCAAATACACAGTAAGCATACCATAAATCCCCTGTCCTTCACCCAAAGCAGACACCAGTCTTTCCAAGAGCCTGACATGATCTCCAAGTCCATATCAGCATAGGGCTTTAGGCAGTCACTAGCAACCAAATGGAATTGACACACCATTTTAAACTGTTTGTAATTTTGGAGCCAGAACATACAGTTTCTTAGAGAATACGGTGACAGCAAGAGAAAGGAGTCCAAGCAGCTGTCGGCCACTTTGGAAGAGGTGAGGTAATTTTAAAAACAGCCTGCAGCTGGTTGGTGGGACAAAGCAGGACGAGCCCCAGGCCACCTAGGAGCCTTGCAATAATAGGTTCAGGGAGGTGAATCGCATAGACTCTGCTTTGTGACCCTGAGCAAGTAGCTTCATCTACCTGAGCCCCCCATTTCTTATTTTAAAATGGGATGATAACAGCAATGCCTGCCTCATAGGGTTGTCATGACCTAAAACGAGACGACACAATGTAGTGTTTACACAGCAGCCGCCTCGTGGTAAGCAGTTTACTTTTATTAATTAAACATAGAATTTATTTATGCAAAGAAAAATAAGATAAAGTTACTCTCCTCCAATCAACCCAGCAGAAGGACGTTCTGGACATTTGATAGGACAGAAAATTCTAGGCCCAAGTCCTAGAACTAGAATTATCTTATTTCCATTGGGAAAGGTGCTGGTTGAGCCCCACAGAGCGAGTTCCCAGGATCTGCGCCAAAATGCAGAGGTGTGGTAGGCATACATTTAGCGAAGTCAACCCCAGTCAGAACCTGAGGCAAAGCACAAAATGGCACTGTAGTCTCTGCCTTTGTCAGGTGCCACAAATGACTTATTTCCAGCACCAACTACCTAGAGTTAGGCCAGACTTCGCAGGTGAAGGGTACAGTCCTCCAGGCTGCCAAGCCTGCCCAAGACCCCCTGCTACAAGCTTGGGGGTCCCGGAGCCACCCTCACTTCTGTCCAGTGGGCCCCAAATTCTGGGGTTCCCACTACTCCCTCAAGTGTGATAATTCGCTAGAATGACTCGGTTATGATTTTAGTATTATTATAACGAAGGGATACGAAATCAGAACCAGCCAAACGCGAATCTTCCATGTCCCTAGGGGTTTGTCACCCCCCAGCACATTGATGTACACAGAATATTGTCAGTCAGAGAAGGTGACCCGAGCCTCAGTGTCCGAGTTTTTATTGAGGCTTCGTTCCTTAGGCATGATTGATGAATCATGGGCCATGTGATTGAACACAGTCTCCAGCTAATACCACAGGGCTCAAAGCTCCAAACCTCTAATCACATGACTGGCCTTTCTGGGGTCCAGCCCTCATCCTTAGTCACCTTGTTACCATGAACTATAGGGGGGCCCACCATGAACAATGAAGACACTTCAATCCCTCGGGAACTTCCAAGGAGTCGGAGGTTACCTCCCGGGAACTTGGAACAAAGGTCAGTCAGATTATTGACTGCACATGTACCTAAAAGGTAATATAGCCTTTGATTTATGAAAAGGGGCCCTTGCCAAATATAGGACATATTCCAACAGGACTTTTATCCAGAATTCAGCAAGGATACCCCATATGCTATACTTCTGTCTTCTTTTGCTAAATAATACTTATTTTTATTATATTACAAGCACGATGTAAGTCCTATGCAGACATTTAGAAAACACAGAGAAGCAAAAAGAAGAAAATAAACAGCGATCATAATCCCACCTCCCAGTGTGGGGGAATGTTACCATTTTGGTATTTATCCATCCAGATTTTTCTCTCTGCATTTTAAAATTTTATTTATATATAAAAATTAGATGTTTCATAAAAGTTACTGCTTAAATTTTCTCTCTCTAGTTTATCATTACCAGTTCAAGATCCAGTTCATCAACCAAATAGAGAAACCAATAGAACCCACTTTCTCCATGTCACTTCTGGGAGCAAAAGAGGAAATGCAGAACATCCCCATCACTCTGTGAGTATGCGGGGGCGGGGGGTGCTTCTGTGGTGACGACATGCCTATTTCTCTCACAGGGTCTAGATGGACTTCGCACCTTTCAAGGGGCAGGCCAGACACAACTAACTCTTCTCAGCCCATATGACACCCCAGACGTCCAGTCAGAGGGGACATTTGCCCAAGCCCACACCTTGCTGTCCCTCCCCGGTGTCACCCTCATTCCACTGACTGCTCATGTTAGCTCTACCTGTGTGTGTGATGGGCTAAGGCAACGTGGGCGAGCAAAGAGGGAAGCAGAGCGGTCCAGCCAATGTCTGCAGTGCAAAGTGAGGGTCCGAGCAGGGAGGCGCGGTGGGGGCAGGCCAGGTGTCAACAAGAAGATCCTGAGCACCTTCCCAGCGAGCTCTGAGAACCATTACCCAAACATAAACAGTGCCCATTCAGCAGGGCACTGTGAAAACAGAAATCATATTAAGCCAGTAGTAGAGATTGATTGAAGTTTATTTAATATATGATTTGCAAATCAGGATAACATTCTGACTATAAATGTTCTGAAGATGAGAAGACTTCCAAAATTCTTACACCACATCTTATCAGCATTTCCATGAAAAAGGGGCTGGAACAGAACTGATAAACAATTTGTGGTCAGGAAGAATTTCGTACAGCATTGCCTTGAAGAACAATTAAAATAATTACTGATTTACCCTAAAACATAGCTCCCAGTCTGACCTTTGAAGTCCTCTGTTTCCAGAAACTGATTGAATTCTTGCCAAGGCACAATGCCCAAGGCAAATGGTCTTAGACTAGTGTATCTAGACCTTTGTTGGACACAGAGATGACTATTTAAATGCCAGTTTCTTCAAGGCTCAAGGTTCAAAAGGACACCTAAGAGGAAATGACCTGGGTGGTCACTCCTACTCCATGGACCCGGAAATCTGGATTCCAAGAGAATTAAAACAGTTTCTCAGCATAAAATTTTAGTCTCAATCAGCTGGCACTGCCAGCCCTCCCCGTCTATCCTTCACCCTTGCCTTAGCTGTCTAGTGTTGCTGTAATAGAAATACCACAAGTGGGTGACTTTAACAAACAGAAACCTATTTTCTCACAGTTTAGGAGGCTGGAGGTCCAACTTCAAGGCACCAGCTCTAGGGGAAGGCTCTCTCTGTTGGCTCTGGGGGAAATCCATGTCTCAGCTTCTGCAGCCCCGGTGTTCTCTGTTTTGTGGACATCTCCAGCCCTGGTGTCCTCTGTTTCGTGGCTGTCTCCCGTCGCATCTATCTTCCCTCATTTGTGCTTGCTTCTCTCTGCATCTAACCTGCTCTTTTTGTATCTCAAAAGTCATTAGCTTTAAAACACACCCTATTCTGATATGGCCTCATTAACAAAGCAAAGACAGCCTTATTTCCAAATGGGATTATAGCCACAGGAAAGACCAGGGTTAGGAATCCAGCACATATGTTCAGTGGACACAATTTAATCCATAACAACCCTGTTACACATCTGCTCATAACACAAGTGGTGGCCTCACTCAGAGGCTCACTGGTCAGAAAGTCCCGGGAGATGCCAGCATCTCAACCCTCAGCATGGACTCTCTCTGGGACGTGGCACCAGCCCATCACCTACTCCAGGAGCATCCTCGACTTCCTGAAAACTGCCCACTTTGCATCTCTGATCACCACACTGATCCAGTCAGTCAGCAAGAAGATGGTGGTGGTCACACTAGAGATAGTCAGGCCCTGTCCTCAGGAAGCCACTGCCCCAAGGAAGAGCTAGACTCCTATGGGATTCTTTACAATGTTCTGCAGGAAAAGCGAGGAGATGCTGAGCAAGGGACCCTGCATCCATCGTCTCCCCTAAATCCCTCCCCAGGGGACTGTTCTAAATAGTGGGGAGGGCATCTGGCAGCTCCGTCATGTTGGGGCATTTTAACACCTTTTGAGGATAGCTGTCTAGTGAGTAAAGCTGATAATTATACCTGAGTCTGCATTTAAATCTTGCTCCAAATTTGTGCATCCTTTTCATATGTGGTTTTCTATTATTGTTATAATTTGCTGTTTTAATAGAAAGTTCTGTTTATATGGAAGAAAAAAGTATCGCTGGGGGAAAAAAGAGTGTGACGTGGGTCTATTGTGTTAATCAAACCTACGGAGAACTCAACAGTCCAGAGGCCATTACTGAAGCCCCTCTCTCCTCTGGAACAGCTTTCCTGACTTGTTTACCTAGAAGCTAAGAAGAAACAGCCTGAGCTAAACAAAGTCAACTAGGTTCATTATTACAGGACTTCTCAGAACCTTTTTAATATGCTAACACAGGAAATAGCATGGTGTTCCCAGTGTTATTTGTCTGGAAAACTCTTTTTTCCCCGGCACACCTATTGCTCTCTCTCTCTCTCTCTCTACCTCTGTTGAACACCAGGTTGCAGCAAAAAAGACCATCCCAGGTAATTCAGGCAAACTTAACACATCCCAGACGCACCTAAGCATCGCTTTGCTATTACAAATAAACCGACTATGTCTGGTTTCCTTTGGATCTTCAAGGGGCGGAGGAATTACGAGTAATAAAACCTACTCCTTTCTAATCACGTTGGATTTGGACATCGGTGAGCTGATCATGATCAACTTCAAGTGGGAAAACAGCGCCGTATGGGCCAACATCTGGAACATGGTCCAAATCATTATCCCGTGGGGCACAGAGCCTCGCTACTCAGGTCTGCTTCTGAAGACCATCAAAGTGAAAGCAGGAGAAACCCAGCAAAGGTGATGGTGATTCAGCTTCCTACTAACAGATATTAGGCACCTACCTGTGCCAGGCCCTTTCACAATTTAATGCTTACAATATGTTTGGTTGTTGTGAAGCAGTTGTTACTATGCCCTAATGATAGCATATAAACACTCAGAAAGGTGATGTGCTCATCCCAAGCTCGCACAGCTGTAGGTGGAAGCAGAGGCAGATTAACCAGTAAGCAAGGTATGCACCAGCTTACAGTAAGCAAGGCACACACAGGTTCAATTGTGTTTACTTACTTATCTGTAGTGCACAGTTGAACATGGTTTTCACCACTTCTTTGATATGGTGAAAAACAGGTGAAATGGTGCACTGCAGATTAGTAAGCACAAGTAAGCCCGTGCATACCTTGCTTACTGGTTAATCTGCCCCTGGGTAGAACTGCCCCCATAAGGTTTCCTAGGCTGTAATCTTTACGGGAGCAAATCACCAGGTCTTTCTTTCGTGGAGCCACTGGGTGGGTTTGAACCGGTAACCTCTCAGTTATCAGCCAAGCGTTAACCATTGCGCCATCAGGGCTCCAACCTTCAGTCTTAGCCCTCCAATAATCTGCTGTTTCTTAGTCTAATCAGCAGAGTTGCGGTGCTGAACATTAACATACATGCCCATCAGACCCTTCCTAGAGCTGCAAGGGGTAGATGCTAAAAGGGGAGCAACAGGGGGCCTCTGGTTTGTTAAGCAGTAAGTGCCGAGTTCCTCCTGTGTGTCTACACAGTACCAGGTTCCACTGGGGGATACCAAACAAATCCAAGTTGTGGCTCTCGGTGTAAAGATGTAATGATGAGGTGCATCCATTTTACTAATAGGGTGCTTCATCCCAGTGCTTGTTGAAATTTAATGTGCGCATGAATCGCCTGAACGTCATGTGGGAATGCAGGTTCTGCTTCAGGAGGCCTGGGGTGGGGCCTGAGATTCTGCATTTCTAACAAGCTCCCAGGTGATGCCAAGGCTGCTGGTCCATGGACCACACTTTCCTTAGCCAGCCTGGAAGTCTAGGCAGCCTGAGGAGAAGGACATCTGTAGGTTGGTGCATCGGGCTGTGCTGTGGTGGGCAGACAGGCAATCCCAGGAGCTAGGCACTGAACAAAGCAGTGTGGCAGTCAGAATCAGACTCCAGCAGTCAGTTCCAAGTGCAAATCTGACTCCACAGCTGACCGTCTGAGTGGCCTAGACAATCACTTCGCCTCTCTGAGATTCAATTTCTCTAGCCACAGACGAGAATGATATCAACTACCAGTTTTCTAATACCTTCTGCAAACGAAAACCCCAAAGCCAGGATATGAGTTCTAAGCCTTATACTCTTCATCTCTCTGCTAACTGCAAGAAATTTTTAAAAAGGTTAAAGAACACATTCTGTGCCTCTCTGGGAGGAATTCAGCATGAGGTGGTTTTCTTCCCCCAAAAGGCATGACATGGAGGATGATCAGAGTCTGTTGTGAGGGTGGAAAGATAGGACAGAAGTACAGACCCTACAGCAAGACCTGAGAAGTGATTAGCGAAACATAAGGAAAAGACGCTCAATTGTTGCAGTAATCAGATTCACATATTATTCATACCAGTGTTTAATTTAGTAAAGTCTTGATCTTAGATGCAGTACAAAGGGAAAAAAAGAAAGCCATAAACTAGAATTTTCTGTGACTGATTTTTGTTAACAGATGCAATTGGAATTAGTAACATACAATGGCATCTGGAGACAAGCTAATGGTCAAAGGAGTCTAGCAATCGGTCTCCAAGAAGGACCCAAAGCTCATAGTGGGTGTCCTCTGGCTAGATAGTGTCTGCACCCATAGGGGAAGAGGTAGGGCTGCCAGTGTGAGCCAGGCAGGGCTCATGACAGTCGCCTCATCCCCAGGGACCTTTAAGAATGGCATTGACAAACTGGAGCATGTTGAAAGAAGGAAGGCTGGGGAATTCCGCCTGCCTTTGAGAAATGTTGAAGGAACTGAGAATGTCTGCCTGCCCTGGAGCCAGAGCATGTAATGAAAGAAACCGCAGTTACCCTCCGCTCTTTGATGCTTGGTTCTAAGACAGAACAAAGGAGGGATGTCCCTAGGACTTTCAGTTCTTACAGAATGGAAACCACCACGGAGCAAAGCCCCAGGAAGCCTTAGACCTTTGCTTTCACTGAATTGGGTTCTGTTTTTCTCTGAAGTTATGAAAATATTTGTGAGCATAAGAATCTAATTAAAGAAACAGCATTGCACGCCTTACTTAAATTGAGTATTTGACAAAGGATGAGACACTTCAGTGAGCTCCGTCTAAAACTTAATGCTCCATTTGTTCTGTTTTCTTTTCAGAATGACATTTTGCTCAGAAAACACGGAGGATCTACTACTTCACCCCACCCGGGAGAAAATCTTTGTGAGATGTAAAGTAAACTCTAAAAAACTGAAGCAAAAGATCAGATAACTGAATCTTATTCCTCATCTAGGCTATAACAAACTCCCAACCAAAGCTATAGGAAGAATTTTGCATAAAGTTTAAATAAAGTTTAGAAGTAAAGGAGGCATGTTTCACTATTGCAAACTGAGCTTTTAAAAACTGTATTATACAACTTTTCAAATATTAGCGGAACTAAAAAATTCCCAGTATTACCTCTGGTTAAATGGTAATGTATGCAAATCAGTGCAAATGTAGGAACCATTTTGGATCCGTTGTTCTAATTTAAAATGTCTTTTACAATTAAGTCAAATTTTCTGCATGTCCTAGCTAGTTAATTCTGAGCACTTTCCTGAGCCATGCTGGAAAGGTGCTTCTTTATCACATAACTAGCACTTCAGGAAAAGGAAATCCCAATTAATCACTAATGGGATGTCGCACCACGCACACACTTTAAGACAACACGACTCACCGAAAGAAGAACAATTCTAATTAACCTCAGAGTTATCATCATACAAATAATAGTTACTTACCTGAACCAAACACATAGGAGTAGAATTCTGCCCAAACTGCTAATGATAACAATGAGAGCTGGACAGTCAGTCATCTTAATAATTAAATGACCAGTTACATAAATCCAATTTTCCTCTTTTACTAATGCTTGCAATAAAAGCTAATGGAAAACATGGGATAGCTAAAGAGACAAAAAATCTCACACCGTCCAAGTAATGAAGTAAAGACGTTTGACCAGCACTTCCTGACATGAGCTGGCTCTAGAAGCAGATACTAGACATGGGAACCACTGGGAGGCATGTGGCCAGTCATTGGGAGAGAAGGAAGGTGCTCAGCGCTTTACAGAACGTACCCTGACCTTCACACAGGCTGGGCTGTGCACAGCTCCTAATTCACCTTCTCTTCCCCGGAGCAGGGCAAACCAGGGCTGGTTGCCCTGAAGGGATGTCTGCCGCTGACTAAATCAACTCCAGATTATCTTGCATGATTTGTTTTATTTCCCTCCGAAAGACATCTAAAACTAAAGGGCATGGGGGGACAGAAACACCAGCTGGGATGATGTTTCCAAATGAGGCATCCTGACCCGAACGCTAACCTTACCTGCAAAAGTACTTGTCCCACAGGAAAGCTGGTGATAGGGAACCCAAGGCTGAGTAAGGATAGTGTTGATGTGTTGTGAGGTTGTTAACCATTGTCATAGGGCAACATGTGTACTGTTAAATGAGAAACTATTTTGTTCTGTAAGCCTTCATCTAAAGTGAGAATAGCAGCACAATTGGAAGAGCGTAGTCGATGTCACTGAACTGTGCATGTAGAAATTTTTGAAATGGTATATCTTTGGCTATGTGTATTTTCACCAAAAAAAAAAAAAAAAAAAAAAAGGTCGAGAAGGGAGAGGGTTGACATGTTGTGGGGTTGTTAACCAATGTCATAAAACAATATGTGTACTACTGTTTCATGAGAAACTATTTGTTCTGTAAGCCTTCACCTGAAGTACAATTAAAAAAAAAAAAAGTACTTGTCCCAATTTTAGGTAAAGTGTGTGCACACGTGTGTGCCTGTGTGTGTGTGTATCTAGATGGATAAATATTTAAGTGAACAATACGTTATGTCTAAAATACTAAGGTTTACAATAAAAGCATGTTTGCGCTGGATTGGCATGTTTTATCATTAGCTATCCAGAAAGAATTTAACACGCTGCTTTTAACGAACTGCATGAGAACACTCTTGGATAGACATCCTAGAGAATATGTGCACACGTGCACCAGGATACATGTATCAGAATATCCATCTCAGCTTTGAAAGAGTCAAACCCAGAAACAGCCCAAATGCCCGTCGGTAGAATGCATACATGAACTGTGGTATATTCTTACTAAGGGAATGTCATACCACCATGAAAACTGAACCAAAGCTACAGGAACAAGAAGAGGGCTGGGACGAGACGGGGCAGTGAGGTGCCTCAGGTGCAAAATTAAAGGAGGCATTGACTCACTGGTTCGCGCACTTGGACAAAGACACACAAAATAAAGTATAAAACATGCAAAGCTAAGCTATATTGTTAGGGATGGATAAAAAGGTGGTAAAACTATAAAGAGGGGCCCTGGGGGCACAATGGTTAAGCGCTCGGCTGTGCACGGAAAGGTCAGTGGTTTGAACCCACCAGCTGCTCCTCGGGAGAAAGACGTGGTGGTTTGCTTCCGGAAAGATTACAGCCTCGGAAACCCCATGGGGCAGTTCTACTCTGTCCTACAGGGTCACTGTGAGTCAGAATTGACTCAGTGAAAATAGGTTTGGTTTCTGGAAAACTATAAAGAAAAGCAATAAAATCATTACCACGGAAGTAAGCCTTGAGGTAACTCCAGGGAGGGGGAAGGGCTGGCCAGGTCCCACCTGCCAGCAACATTCTACTCGCTCTGGGTGGTGGTTACACTTCTACAACCATTCTTTAAACAGTACATCTATATTTCATGCACTTTGGGATACGAATGTCCCATTTCACAATATGAAAAAAAACAAACAATAAAACAAAGGGCAGAGTTAAACATTTTTCTAAGACCATGTAAATGCACTTCAACATAAATACAATTTCGCAGGAAATTTAACTAGAAGTAAATTTTTTTTTTTTTTTTAGACAAAGGCATTTAATGTTCTTTTTTTTTTTTTAATATTTTATTGTACTTCAGGTGAAGGCTTACAGAACAAATAGTTTCTCATGTAACAGTAGCACACATG